TATACACAACCTAAAGAAAATTAAAAGTTATCAAGAATTATAAATAAAATTCTTATAAATAAATTCTATTTTATATCAGATTACGAATTAATATTGAGATTATTTTTGACTAATTGATTTTAACTAAAATTTAACTAATTGAGAGAAAAAGAACCAATCTCAATTTTAATGAACTTTGTTCAATTTAATCAAATTTAAATCCTTAATCTTAATTTGCAGTCTAATACAGACCTAACTAAAATTATATAGAGTATATTCCATATTATATAATCATAAATAATCAAATTATGTAAAATATAAAACATGCTTTATCTTATATATATTGTAAAATTTAATATAACAACGCAAGAATATAATTTGTATATTTAATTCAAATTATATTTATATATTATACATTAACATATTTTATAAATTAGTTTTTAATATAATTAATAATACAGCAAACTATAATACTATAGTTTATAACTATAGTTTATACCTTTGCTTGAACAGCATAAGAAGCAAGTAATACAGATGCTTCAGGTGGACAATAAATATCCATGGATAATATAGCTTGCTTTACTTGTAAAAAGAACAAATGTTGAGTAACTTCTTGTACTAGTTCTTCAGCTACATCCTCAGGATAAAACTTTGCCAGTAACATAAACGATGTAGTCGGTTGCTGCGAAATACCTTGATCTTGAACTGTAATCAATTCAGCATTATATACAGCATTATATACACTAGCAAATTTATATATTGCAAATATCTACATTTGATCTTTTCCATATCTAAGAATTGAACCAATAGTAAATTGTACTTACCTTTTTTGTCTAATTTTAACCAAGAAATAAAACCCTTTGCATCTTCATATTGAAGTCCAAAATACCATGTCTCTCTTAATCCTATTGTGCGGCAAACCAAGTCAAATAAGTCTCTGCCTGTCGATCTCCACTATACCATAGGAAACTTGTCAGTTTGCGAGATACATTATCAGTTCACGAAATACATAACAATCTCCCAATACTTTTTCACTAACCTCTAGATTAAATTCGAGCTCTGCATCCAAGGTGCAAACTTTGACAGGGAAGGATTTCCCAGACTTTTTTCTCCGAAACGGTGACATCTTATTTCTTACTGTGTACATTCAGCATCCCGAAAGACATGCTGCCTATCGCGAAGGTACTCGACTGGATGACAGATTAGACCTTGTGCCGCTGATGACAAATATTTTGGCGCAGCGTCGATGATTTCTTCTTTTTTTTTTTTTTTATTTGCCCGTTACAGCACAACGAAACTATGCGAATAATGATCTTACCTAAAATTGTCAATACGGCGTGTTCCCGACATAATTACGAAACACCAACATTTAAACGGCAGGCACGGCGGTTTGTTTCAAGCGTCTGACATTTCTTTTTTCTCATACGCTATTCGCACCATAATATATTAGATTCTACCTGTTTGCCAATTTTATACATATATTCATATATTTTCGTGAGCGTAATTCGTACGTGTTTGCAGGTATTTGGGTTCGCGCGAACTGTATACCGCGAAATCAGAAATTTCTGCTGTTTCTTATAACCGGTCCTAGTTCGAAGCACTGGGATAAACTGATAGGAGCCACTGAAATATAATAAGTGCATTCGGTACTGCAACTGCTCATTGGCTGCGTTCAACGGACACAACGGTTGCACAACAGTTGAGTAATTCGTAAATAATTGGGTCTAAATTTAGGGATTTAATAGTAAATTAATAATCATTAATCGCTCATCGATCGGATTTTATTCCACTGAATTCGCACTCACTTTAGCTTTGTTGTTCAACGAATGTTAAACAAATTGATATGTGAGTTATTTTTGAACACACTCTAGGTTACACTCCAAAATATTCTTTCCGAGAAAAATTTTACTCAAAATATATAGTACACGTGACGTATACTATATTATATCGAGTAAAATTTTCCTCAGGGAAGATATAAGGAAGATAACCTGGATGATTTAAATCTTAAGCCATAAGAAAATTAACCAATCATAGTCGAGTTTTCTCACATTTGATTAGGATTGGGAATTTCTTATAACTTAATACATCTATTGTAGGTTGGAAAACGTTATAGTTCATTGCTAGAGACGCGATTCACTTACTAGCTACAAAACTTTAGAAGACGTTTGATTAACCAATACAGAAAAAAAAATTTTAATAGAATTGACCAATCAAAAATAGCTTTGAAGTATTGTAACATCAAGTGGATCGCGCCCTAAACAGAGGTCAATCATGTAACTTTACGTGTAATTTTTCACTTTTCATTTTTCATTTTTTACTTTTCATTTTTCACATCGTGATATTTCACATGAAACTTTTCACGTACAACGATTATGTATGTAGCTTGAATGCGTGGAAAGTGAAATCATGAAACATAGTTTTATAGGTTTTATAACTAATGAAAATTATTTTATTGGTATAGTATTATATACATCTTTTAATAACCAATTATATATATGTACTACGTATACTTAATCCTAACGCAATTCTAATCTTCTCTAATTTCAGCATATTTATTTATTAATTCCATAGATTTCCGCCTTTCCGCCACCAAGGTACATGGCGAAAAAGTCACGTGAAAACACATTTTCACGTTTGAGAGGGTTACATGATCCCGCAAAATCGTATATGATCGTAAGTTCACGTGAAATTTTTCACTTTTCCGCCCTAGGGGAAAAGTTACATGATCGACCTCCTCCAAATTCTCAGATTGAGTTTTTATTACTAATTAATTCGACTCAGATAACTACAGATGGCGGTGTATTTCTATTCGTGAACTTAACCGTAATAAAGTATGCCAATATTAAAGTGAAGAACTCGAATTGAATTATATTAATTCAGTCGTATTATATTTATATTATTTGCAAATATATAAATATATATATATTTCATAATTTATTAAATTATTAATTTCTATTATTTTTCTTAAAAATAAGTTTAAAAAAGAATTACTAATTATTATTAATTAGTCCATTACAGTTTATTTTAGTTTAATTAATAATTAATCAACTTATTTTTATATTATTCTTTTTCGATAAAAATCCATCCATAACCTCTCTTCATACAATAAATCAAATTTTTTATGCTTTATGTAGAAAGTTGGTAGTGGTAAGATATTTGATAGAAAGTTAATAATTAGTACAAAAAAAATGCAATATAATGAATTGATCATTCGAACTTCGAGTTTTATATCCTAGTTTGGTGAATCCATAATCCAAGTTTTAGTAACTTTCTTTCGGCCCGAAAATTTGAATTGCATTGTGGACACAAATCTTGAGATGTCTTTTTATGCTGACATTCGATGCTCATTTTTAACGTTAAAATCAAGTCAAAATCACGTAGTCAAAAATGACCATCCAAATTCTGCATCATTCTGATCACGTGATTTATTTTGATGCTAAAAATGAGCATGTCGAATGTCAACATGAATTGATATTTATAATAATGGATCTCAGAAGAAAATATGCACAATTACCGATCGAGACCGAAATACTTTATTAACTTATGGTCTCATTTTTTACATCACTAGCTTGAATCGCTAGATACACACGCTTGCTCGACAAGTTCTAACACAACATTAAAACAACATTAAAAAAAATCACGCTTATTAAAAGTGTCAAATAGAAGATGCGGTGGCGATGCACCGAAAGTAAAGAAAGAAATCACACATACACAAAGAGCTCATATGTGCGCTCAGCGTTTCGATTACTTTGAGAATACATTGACGATCTTCCATCTTATTTCTTTTCGTTGTATGATAGGAATTATAAAACGGGAGAAAATAAGAAAGATAATCTATTTTGATCTGTCATTCTTTACCGTCCGACATTGTCCGAAGGCGGAGAATTATATATGATTTCTCTTTTTTGCTATATCCCCTCCATTTATCTTTCGGTGTAGCTCACGGACTTGGAAATAAAGAGACGGAATATAAGCTAGAAAGGTGAGACACATTCGCCATATTCATCTAGAGTACATATCGTACATATAGAATCACGATGTGTACGTATGCATACATGTGTGTGTGTGTGTGTGTGTGTGGTGTGTGTGTGTGTGTGTGTAGATCTCTTTGTGTATTGTGTTACCAACCAGCGCAAATAGCATGTCACAGACACATATTTATGTGCGAGATGAACAGAAACAAATATGGCGAAGAACGGTTTCCCTCCCGTATCTCCAAGTTTTTATCCCTCCCGTCTAAACTAGGACTTTAGATTCCGTCCCTCTATTCCCAAGTCCGTGGCCGCATCTTTCTTCTGGTACCTCTGATGTCAATTTGCTCATATCAATTTGCACGCAGTCGCATACCGCTTAAAAGAAGGGTGGTTTTTTAAATAAAATAGCATAAATAATAAATAATTGCAGACAAAAGATTAATAATTAAAAATGATAAATAAAATTTCATCCAAATAACAAAACAAAAAAATTTATTTGGATAATGTTCAACTTTGATTGTAAATAAATAAATTAGTTGCATATTTTTTTATATAAATTATTAATGAATAACAATTTTATTTAAAACTTATTGAATAATTATATTTATTTAAATAAATTATTAAAACGAATATAATTATTTAATATTTTTTGAATAAAGTTGTTACTTATAAATTCATTTATTACTTCGAATAAAATTTATTCAAGTTTGTTTATAGGAAATAGGAAAAAAAGTATATTTGCAAATGATTCACAGGTTACTGAAAAAAATGAATAAAGGAAAAAAATCATATAAATGAAAAGAAAAAAAGAGATTTAATTTGTTGTAATAGAAGATACATGTTGGAATGATATTATTTTTAGTGGCAAAAGTAAATTTAATATTTAATATTTAATATTTAATATTTATTTAATATTTTTGGATGAAATAAACAAAGGATGATGTGAAGAAAGACAAACTCAAGAATATGAAAAATAAGTCAAGTATGAAGCACAGATGTGAAAATGTACTTGAAGATCTCAAAATTCGGATTTAGTGAATTAGTTTTCATTGATAATATAATGGATAAAATTCTATATCTTAATATTGTAAAAGATAAATTATTTACTTACTAAAAATTTCACAGAAATGGGAAAGACACATTTAAACTAACAACTCTGAACATGAAACTCGAATTGTGTAGGAATATTGTACAAAGTTATTGCAATCTTCAGATATAAATTCCATTGAAAACATATATTGAACATATATTTATGAAACAAATTAGATAGGCGAATAGATGAATACTTCGAAACTTCAAAAGAAATATTAAAATAGCGACTACAAGAAGAATGAGATAATATTGATATTGAATATTTTAAAAAATTATTTGTAATGTGCCTCATACATATGAAAAAAGTCATACATTGAAAAAGATATCTTGTAAGAAATTACTTATTATTATTTATAAGAAAGTTAGTATAAAACTTATTTATATGAACCATTGTCCGAATATTAATGCAATTTTAATATCAGACATTATTTGTTTAAAATAAATTAACAAATGATATAAAGTATATAAATAAAGTTTACATTATTGTTAACTAAATTCAGTACTGATTCAGTACAATATAATCTATAATCAAATATTTTGTTTTCGTCATGAACAAAATTCTAATATAACAGTATAAAAATTGTAATATTTAAATATTAAAGTTTATATTGTTTAACTGTATAATTTCACTGAAATCCCAAACAGCTATAAAATTTTGTATAATATGTATACGAGTTATTTGATTGAAATATTTCATTATGTATTTAAATATTGTTATAAATGTTTATCTACAATTTAATTTAATTCATAACACTGTTTTGCGTACTTTATTATTATTGCTGTTTTATGATTATTATTGCTGTATTACTGTTTAAGTATTCATATGAATCATAATTAAATAAATGTTTAGTCACTGTAACTCTAACAAGCTCTCTACAAGCGCTGAAATATTTATGATCACTATGAGTTCTATAATTAAATCATTAAGAATTATTAACAACACTATTTTTAATACTTAAAATAAGTTATTAATCACTAGCTTACTAATATTAATAAGAGATATATGAGTGATAGAAAGGGACAAATGCATTCATGTCTAAGGAAATTACATTGAAAAGACGAAAAGTCTCTTTTTTTTTCAATCAATTTTTATACAAATATCAATTTTTATATTTCCTTTGTTTGTTTTCTTAATAAACTGTCGTAATTATAAATATTAATTTCTATTACTTTTACTGGGTAATTATTTTTTATTAAAAAGATATATGCAGAACTTTAATATCTCAATTGTTATATTAATTGTTTCAGTCATAATATAATATCATAGCATGAGTAAAGAGAAGCCAATTTAATTATAATTTTCTTAATAATTTATCCTTGAAATGACAACAATAATGATGAATATCGTTTATTATTTAAATATCATTTTAACGCAAAAGCCTCATTCTAATACTATAACGCGTAAAAATATATTAAAAGAATTTATTCACGTACAGAAAACAAAGATATTAATTATTTGGTTGTCTACTATTCCAAATTCATAAAACAATATTGTTATCTTCAATTACAAGGGCTGGCTGGCTGGCTTCCTGACTGCAACATAATAGATTGTACAGAGAGCGTAGATGATATAGTGGCTGCCGTCACAGCATCTGAATGATGATGATGATGATGATGGTATAGCGCTGAAGCATAATACTGTTGATGATGATGTGCCAGATGAGAATGATGATGATGAAGATAACCGCTTGACATTCTGTCATTGTTGTTGTCATTATTATTGTTGTTATTATTATTGTTAACAGAACTGTCGTCATGACGATTGTGATGATGATGATGATGATTGTTGTTGATTGTAGAGCATAGTGACGAAGTTGGCGACGAGGACGACGAGGAATTCTGTACGTTACAGCTGTTTGCCAGAATGTCGTGTACAGTGTGAGGACTCGGCCATTGTAAAATGTTGGTCGTTGTTTGATGGCTACTGCTGTTATGTACTGCCGGAGGCGGCGATGATGACAACTTACTTGCTGACGATGGTGCAACTGGAAATGCAATAATAACATATAGGTAGATAGATTTTCAATTTCAAGCAATTTATCAGCAATTAATATCAGAATGGAAAAAAATAAATAAAATATATGTATTTCGTGTTAATTTTTTGTTAGAACTGAACGTATATATTTAAGATTGTAACGATACATTTTTTTTTATGTTCAGATTAGGGAGTCGATTGTATATTTTTATCGACTTTTCTCATTTCTTGTACTTCATCGGAAGGATCTAATAGCATATGTCTCGATAGCACACATTCATATTGGCAGATGCTTATGTTATTATAGGAATTTTTCAATGGGCCATTAATCAGAAAATTTTATATCTAATTGACTAATTAAGCAAATTTATATATATAAGCAATTTTAGTCCCGTTTTTTTATATCATATGATAAAATATCCGCGATTGACTATAGGCACGTGAAAATATGATATTTCTATGCTTATAGCTTTATATAATCAAATATTACGGATAATTTTTTTACAGAAACTATTCTAATAGGAATAATAATCAACAGCGATCGATAAACATTATGAAAAAACAAAAATAAATTATTATTGATTTTATGCAACAACACCTTAATTTTAGTTGGGAACGTTTTTCTTTTTGTAACTTGCATGAAATTTTTTAATTTCTAATGGCTAAATTTTATGTAAAGCGCATGTATATATTTTACAATATTTTACATTAACTACAGATAAATATGTGCATGTGCACTTTAAAAATCCAACTTATATTAATTGTAGAGTTGTCATTTTAAATAATCTAAAATGTATATGAATATTCCATAATACGTGTTTATGTATTTATAATATAATAACAATAATAATAACAATAAGAAAAAAATATACATGAACGATTTATTCAATTTATGTAAATTATAAGTATGTTGCATATAAATTATTTATATATGTGTAATTGTCATATATAACAAACTATAATTTGCTTATATCCAACAAGGGGACATTACCGATTTTGAATTCGATCAAAATTCGATGGGAATATAATGCATTCCCAATAATTGATTTATGATCGGCTGAAATATAATAGGCCATATATTGTCAATTTCCTCCTTTCTTTTCTGTGTTTGATTATATTGTTATATCAAGTATTATTACATTAAATATTTTATTAATTTAACAAGTTTATTATAAACGTTTTCATCTATGCAATCAAAAACATGTAATATAATAAATGTTATGCTTCAAATCCAATTAAAAAAAACAACAAAAATCGGAATCATATAACATTAAAATGTCATTTTTATCGTTATCTCTACTATGATAGATAAAATATAAAATACAAATATGTAATGACATTTAAACAGAAACAAGAAGGAAGGTAAATTTACAAAATTAATATATAACTAAAATATATATATATATATATATATA